TTTCATTCTGGCATATTTTAAGAAAGCATTCATTTGTTCATTAATTGCTTCAAAAATATATTGTACTACTGCTTTCTGTCCAACTATCACTATATAAAATTTATATATAGATATGTGTTAAATATACTATAAATATATATATATGAAAATACACATAGGTATGTGTTAAATTACTACAAACATATGTAAATACACATAGGCACCTATGTATATGCAAATGGTAACGAGTTTTCTTGGAGTTTCTACATCACTTAAATGCCATTCTGTAATGAAATACTAACTACTGTTTTACAAATTATTTTCTTTTCCTTTTTGGCATTTACACTATTAGGACAATATGCTGAGTCCTGTATGTTGTTTATTTTATTTCAGCATTGTAGCATTCCTGTGACACATACATCATCGATTTTTTTCCATGTTTGAAGATGAGAGATTTGAGAACGTTAAGGGTCTTCTCCACAATCATCTGGTTTATAGATACTTGAGCTGAGAACCTTACTCCAGCAATCTAAATGGAGGTGAGCTCTAGAGTTCACCTCCTCACCCCTTATTTCCTCCAAGCCCTCTCTAGGAGAGGCTCTGGCTTGTGACAGTCATGGGATTGTGTAAAGAACACTGTTAAGAAAGCACAAGGTCAAAAAAAAAAAAAAAAAAAAAAAAGAAAGCACAAGGTCCAGGGATGGTTCTCCACATCAGTTCTGGCTGTGTGTACTCCACTGTATTACTCTTCAACTTGGCTTTTTCATCTGTGAAATCGGGATTATAAACTAGGAGTGAGTACTGACTGGGCATGTGAGGTGACGCTCAGCTTAGACGTCCACGTCACATGCTGGAGTGCTGTTGAGGAGCACATGTGCTGGAGGAGCCAGAGGAGTGGTGACATAGGAAGTTAAATTGTAGGTACAGTGATGACCTATGAACAGGTGACGTAGAAAAGAGTTTGCCTGGAGCATGGCTCAGCTGGTGAAATTCAATAAACTGTTTGTCTTTAAAAATGAATCCATGTGGATGTAACCAACCGTCTTATTAAATAAGAAACACAGAAACAATGTAAAAGAGAGAGCCGAGAAGTCAGAGCTCAGAGCTAAAATCTCACCCTTCCTACTGCTGTCCCAGCTTCTCGAAAGAGACCTACTTCCTGTCGGTTCGTTTTTTTTATAGTATGTTGTTCTGCCTTCTCATTGGTTGTAAACCCAAACACATGACTACCTCGTCACTGTCTGAATGTACAGCCCCCTAGGTCTTAAAGGCATATGTCTCCAATGCTGACTATATCCCTGAACACACAGAGATCTTATGGGATTAAAGGCGTGTGCCACCACCGCCACACTCTTGCTATGGCTCTAATAGCTCTGACTCCCAGACAACTTTATTTATTAACATACAATCAAAATAATATTTCAGTACAATTAGATTACCACCACAAATCCAGGTAAGATTAAAAACATTGATGACACCTTATGTTGGAAAGGATGTGGAGCAAGGGGAACATTCCTCCACTGTTGGTGAGAGTGCAAACTTGTACAGCCACTTTGGAAATCAGTATGGTGACTTCCCAGAAAATTGGAAATCAACCTACCTCAAGACCCAATGATACCACTCTTAGGCATATACCCAAGGAATGCTCAATCATATCACAGGGACACTTGTTCAACCATGTTCATAGCAGCTTTATTGTAATAGCCAGAACCTAGAAACAACCTAGATGCCCTCAACCAAAGAATGGATAAAGAAAATGTGGTACATATACACAATGGAGTATTACTCAGCTGTAAAAAACAATTACATCATGAGGTTTGCAGGCAAATGGATAGAACCAGAAAATATCATCCTGAGTGATGTCCCAGTCCCAGAAAGACAAACATGGTATGTACTCATTCATAAGTGGATACTAGATGTAAAGCAAAGGATAACCAGACTACAACCCACAGCTCCAGAGAAGCTAGGAAACAAGGAGGACCCTAAGAGGGAAGGGACATAAGAATCACCTTGAGAAGGGGAAACAGATGAAAACTCCATGAATAAACTGGGGACAAGGTGGGCAATAGATAGAGGGGAGGGGATGGGGGATGAGAACATGAAGGAATGGGATGGTCAAGCTGGGGGAGGGATGGAGTGGGAGAGCAATGAAACAGATATCTTGAGAGAGGGAGACTTTATGGGGTAAGGGAGAAACCTGGTGCTAGGGAAATTCCCAGGAATCCACAAGGATGACCTCACCCCAGATTAGACTACTAGCAATAGTGGTGAGGGGGCCTAAACTGACCTACCCTGGTAATCAGATTCCTGAATACCCTGTCATCATAGAGTCTTCATCCAATAACTGATGAAAGCAGATGCAGAGATCTACAACCAAGCACCAGGCTGAGCCAGGAATCCAGTTGAAGAGAGGGAAGGGGATTTATATGAGCAAGGGGGGGTCAAGATCATGATGAGAAAGTCTACAGAGACAAGTGAACCAAGCTCACAGGAACACATGAACCTTAGACTGACAGCTATAGAATCTGCATGGGACCAGATTAGACCCTCTGCATATGGGAGACAGTTGTGTAGCTTGGTCTGTTTGAGGGGCCCCTGGCAGTGTGATCAGGATCTATCCCTGGTGCATGCGCTGGCTTTCTGGATCACATTACCTATAATGGGACACTTGCTCACCCTTGATGCAGTGAGGAGGGGCTTGGTCCTGCCTCAACTGAAATGTACCAGGCTTTGCTAACTCCCTATGGGAGGCCTTTTGGAGGAGGGGATGAAGGGGTGGATCAGGGGGAGGTGGTTGGGGGGAGTGGGAGAAGGGATTAGAGGGAAATCTGTGGTTGGTATGTAAAATGAATAAAAAATTTAAAATAAAGTGAAGCCAGGTGGGGCTGGAGAGATAGCTCAGAGGTAAGACTACTGGTTGCTCTTACAGAGGACCTGGGTTGGATTCCCAGCACCCACATGGTGACTCACAGGCATCCATAACTGGTTCCATCCCCTTCTGGCATCAATGAGGATGGCACACATATGGCAAAATCTCTGATCTAGATAGATTTATTTCTGTTTTCTTAATGAGAAACCCCCAGAAAAAAATGTCTGTTTTCTCTTGCATGTCTGTAAAATGAAATTCCTCCTACCAACTTGGACAAGGTTTTATTTTATCAAGGCTGGCACTCAACAGGATCCTGACAGTGACCCCTTACACAATGACAGAAAGGACACTACAGAGGCATGTGGTTCCAGTACATTCTCTCTTAATGTCTTTTGTATCCTGGGAACCAATTCAAGATAAGTTAAAAATATAACCCACAGGAAGAAATATTCAAGGTGACAAAGACTAAAAGTAAGTCCTCCTGCTAGTCAGACTGTGACTGTTTGGCTTTTCATCATTAAAAGATATAGAACTTTAACAAAACCAAATGATAAAAATTAAAAGACATGAGTTATAAATTCCCAAATCTAGATGATAAGCGGAGACAAACCAGTGTTATTTTACTGACCTGTGTAACAAAATGATCAAATCTAAGTTCATTTCCAGGTAGTTTAGATTTAAAAGAGAGAGAGAGAGAGAGAGAGAGAGAGAGAGAGAGAGAGAGAGAGAGAGAGAGAGAGAGACCAGTCTTGACAGTACATGACAAGAAGGGCTCATCTATTCAGAACTGACTCTGCTTGTGAGCTCTACTAAATCCCTAACTTTGAAGTTGAAGAACACTCAACTTCATTGCTCTTTCTAGAGCACAAAGTGTACCTAATATTGTTCATTCTCATACACAAAACATAAAGGAACACTAATGTCCCTGTGAGAACACTAATGTGTTATACTACTCAAGGTTAACAGCAAATCAGAGTTCATGAGATGGCTCAGCAGGTAAAGGCACTTGCCACCAAGCCTAAGTTGGCTCCCCCATGGTGAAAGGAGAAAACCAACTTGAAAGTTGTCCTCTGAACTCAACACACACTTACGGCACGCACACACATGCACAAATGCACGCATATGCATGCACACACACACATACACACACACACACACACAGAGAGAGAGAGAGAGAGAAAGAGAGAGAGAGAGAGAGAGAGAGAGAGAAATAAAAACAATAAAACTAATAGCCTTTAATGATCCACCAACCAATACATAATTAAAGGAGTAGAAGAACCTTGGTGTTTTATTTTCTCTTATTTGAAGGGTCTTCAGAGTCTCAATGTAAGGAAGTTAGCTATTAGGTCAATTTCTAATCCAGTTTTTCATGCTATGAAAGCATGGTAAGAGTCTCAGTAACTTTAAACCCTGCCCATTGACTCTTTTGAGTAGTTACACTTTAGGAGTGTTAGAAATGTTTAGAAAAAAAAAAAGGTTCTTTATAAATAAAAGGATTTAACTATCATCCACTACATATTTGCAATGTAAGCCAGAATTCTAACTTTTCCAATATACCTAGTTAAGTATTCCAGGAATAAATGAAAGCTCACCGCATACTGTGGTCGAAGGAGCTTCCACTGCCCAGGATCTTTAACCCCTTAGGAAGTCCGCAGTGCTCCTCAGGGCGGCCTGTGCTCGCCAGAGAACATTGCTTTCTCTTCCAGTCTCTTCATCTGCCTCCCGGATCTGTCTCTTTTTTTACCTTTTCACAGCGATCTACACTTCTTTACATTTCTCTTCACAAACATTGAACTACCGCATGCAAACTAAAACCTCTCCAGCGGGTAGATCAAAAAAGTCCTTTTGGCCATTTCCTAAACAGTCTCTTCATTAATTTCTTTAGCCATTTACATTTGGAGGAAGGAGGAAGGGGTGTGAAGTATTAATCAGATACTTGCCTTTTTACAAGTTGAAGCCTTCTGAAGTGTGTGGTAAAGGACCAGGTCTCTGCAACCGTTCTATATTGGGAGAAATATCGCTACAGAGGCAGTCTTGGATCCATGTCCAGGAAAGCCATTACTAGAGACTCCAGAAGGTGGTTGAGGGGTTGGCCCACCGCGTGGTCTGCAGGCCCCAGTGAGTCTGCGCACTAGTTCTCATCCCTTCGCGCGGCGGAAGGGCTGTTGCCCTTGACAACCCGGGCGGCCTGAGGAGCTTGACAACCAGCTGAGCGCTAGACTGCGCTGCTGCCTCTGATGGCTATGCAGCCAGGTCTAGCGCCTAGAGCACCATCCACCGTGATCTGTCTCTTCAGCCTGATCCTGGGCCTGATAGGGTGAACTGGATCCTTGGGGCTTGGGACAAGTGAAATGTGAGGTAATGGTGTCCCGCTTTACTTTTGCTAAGTGTCAAAATGGACATGGAGTCTGGAGAAAAGAGAGTGAAGGGGAAAGACGAGGATGAGCACATCTCCATCTTTTATACCCTCTCATTTTGACCTTTAAAAAAAAACTTTATTTTTATTTAGATTCTAAGATGTTGCCCAAATTGCTCTTGAATTCCTGGTCTGAGCAATTCACCTGCCTCGGCCTCACAATTAGCTCCCAGGAACTATTAATTCTCACCGACTCATCCTAGATTTTATCTAGCACTGAGTCCTGGTATATAGATGTACCATGAGGTGAGATGGAAAGTAAAATATTTAACATCATTATAACACCGAGATTATCCACCAATCACCTTAAGTAAAATGCTCATTAAAAATATCAGTCAGGAAAGTGGGGAGGAAAAGGAGGGAGCTGGATGCATATGGCATTAAGCAGGACTGGTCATGAACATATGGAAATGAATTTCTTGATTTCTGGGGGACTCAAAGTGATTTGAACTGGTCTTGAAAATCAAAAGTTAGAACACACCATGACAGGAATTATGGGGAAAGACAAACAAACTGGGTATTAGCTAATTTGTATATCAGCAGACTTTCCAGAAAAGGTTACTGCCAGAATTGTTAGGCTGTAAAATTGGAAAGGCCATGTGAGATGGAGAAGGTGAGCAGGAAGCTGTTCATGAAGGAATTCATGTGTCCTCTGAAGATGCTAGACTTAATTCTCCTCTTTTTATTAAAAAAAAAAAATTTTTTTGAGGCTGATGAGATGGGTCAGTGGTCGTGAATATTGCTGTTCTTGCAGAGGACGAGAGTTCAATTCCTCACACCCATATCAGGAAGCTCACAACTATCTTTAACTGCAGCTCCAGGGGATCTAATGCCCCTTTTCATGGGCATCCAAACGCACATGCTGACACACAATTTTTAAAGTAAAAATTTTTAAATGTTTTACATTGTTTTTCTTACACACACCCCAAGGCTCAAGGAACATCATGGAAGAGGAGGTAGGAATATTAAAAACCAGAAATTGGGGGAGGGGCTATGAAACATCACCCTCCAGACATAAGATGGTTGATACACCATGAACTCACCACAGATGTGGTCACCTACACAAGACTGGAGCCATCAACTTTCTCGTCATGAGAGGGGGAAGGGCTCCGGAGGCTTCCCCTCACCCTGAGGGACTACTGACAATTAATGGCGGCTGAGGGAATGGGTATCACTTTTTTTATTGGTGTAACCCAGAATCCAGGAAATCGCCTCCCATCCATAGTTCATGAAGGCAACCCTATTTAACTCAGCAGGTCAGACACATGAAAAGACAGGAAAACAATAAAGAGACTGGTCAGGAAGGAAGGGAGTTTTGGCAGAAGAAGGTGGGGAGATAAGACAGAATAATAGGGATGAGAAGGACTAAAATTCACTACACACTGATGAAACTGCCCAAAATTAAAAATTAATTACTTCTTAAAGTCATCTTTCAATTACTTTAGCTTTATGTGAAAACAATAATGGGTTTTATCTCTGCTAAGGATCCTAAGGATAAATGATAGACATGCTCTCTCTCTAATTGTTCCAGAATGTCTGTGCTAGTTTTAGCGTGTGATAGTCGGACTAGGAAGAGCAACTAAGGAGCCTGTCTTTTACCTACTTCTGGATTAGTGATGGGATTACCAGAAAATAAAACAAATGAATGATTATTTGTTTATTTTTACAGAATTAGAATCCTTAATTGGGTTGCAGAGCAGCCAAATGTAGTTTTTCTTTTAAAGAAAGAATTCCAAGAATATACTTTTCTTCTTCCAACAACTAAATTGAGCATTTTAAAAGTACATGCACACACACTTTTTCTGATTAGCAATTTTATGAGCTCTTCATTTGCATGACTTTACTGTGGACCTCACTGAGATTACAGAGACGTTAATATTTTACTCCCCAGCTTACCACATTCTGCTTTGCCGACATACTACAAATGTGAATAAACTTATCCATACACACAAAATGACTTATGTTTCTATTTTCTGAAAACAGATATTAACATCATTCTTAACATGACATTTCATTATTTCCCTACCCAAGTTTTGTAGTTCTGTGGATATCGAGGCATGGTAGAGAAATTAAACTCGGCTGCCTTTAGGTCTCAACTCTTGATTGCTTCTTGGAGATGGTGTCTGAAAGTATACAGCTTATTTCAATCACATGCTTTCTCTCCTGTTGCATTAATAGGCATTGATAAAATAAATTTTAGAAACTAAGGATTCCTGAAAACAACCAAGTCATTAGATTTGAACTTGCAGCATCATTTTGCCAGTCTGGAGCATCATTCTGTCAAAACTGTCTTCTTTCAGAAAAGATCAAGGACAAATATTTATATGGTCAGTCATGTGTCATGACCTGTGTCACTGACTTTTGCATATGTGTATGTATATGTGCACATATACATATCACCAGTAATTATAGAAGAAAGGTCATGAATTCAAGAGGGCATCGGGGGACACAAGAGGAGCTGGGGGAAGGAGAAATAGAAATTACAAAATACAGTATACTCATATATGAAATTCTCAAATAAATTTTGAAAGAAGAAAAATGCAAATTATGTCTAGCACTAAGTTGAAAGTGAATAAAAATTAATCATTGAAGCTTTACTGAAAATTTTCTAATACTGTTCTCTAGTTGGCCTTTATTCTTTATCATCTAGAAATGCTGTTAAGTAGTAAAAGATAACATGTGCAAAATATCAGCATTTCCTAGTCACAGAAAGAAACTTTTTCATTCTGAGGTTGTTATTCAGAAGAGGTGGATGTGCACTAAGGGATGTGAGGAGTAAACATATAGAAAGAAAAAAAAACTGTGGCTTCTGAGTTTGGGAAGATTGTTGTCAAACACTAAGAATCAGATGTATGAGTTTTCTCTCAGAAAAAAAGCATGCGTATGTGTTTTGTATTCTTTTGTAGAAGTCTGATAATAAAGATATCACTGAAGGTTAAAAACAAAATCAACCAGAGGAAATTCTGAAAGTATGGGATGTGGAGAATCAAAAATATCTGTAGCAAATACTATTGTCTTAGGGGTGAGTAATACTTTATCATTACTGATAAAAAGTTTCCTCAAAGTAACTGAATGCAAAGAGCTTTGTTTCGGCAGATCATTCCTGAGGGATGTAGTCCATCATGGTGGGGAGGAAATGGCAGAAGGCAGGGGAGGCATGGTGGTGGAAAGAGAAGGTTTTGGACTTGGTGGTCATGTTGCGTATACATTCAACAATCAGAGAGTGAATAGCAAGTGGGTCTGGGCTACAAAGCCCGATGCCTACCTCTAATAGCTAACTTTCTCCAGCAAGACTCAACTTCTTAAAGATTCAATAACCTTCCCAAACAGCACCATCAGGGTCAAGCATTCAACATGTGATCCTATGGGAAGCACTTCACACTCAAACCACAGAAGTAAGATTTTTACTCTGATTAACTAAAATTCAATGTTTTAAATGATGTCAGTTCTTAAAAGGGTGACTTTGTATCTAGAAAGGGATGTATTTAAATAAAAGAGGCAAAAGCTTTTTGAAAAACATGATGATTGTCTTCTGTAGCTTTTGCTTTGTCTCCTAGCCCTTCATAAACAAGTGTGTGCTGAGATATGAGTACATCAACTGAATTATCACACCCAAGAAAATCCAGCAATATGAATCACTATCAAATTTAAAATTGTGTATGTGTTTGTTGGTTTAAAAGAGACCTATCATAGATCTCTTTTCATCACTGCACTCATGTTTGTCCAGTAGAACTCACACTTCTATTCAGTTATAAACCCGAGAGATTAAAGCTTACCTAATCCTATTAACAAACACCAAGAAGTTAGAAAAATCACACTTACATAACTAATGGGAGAAAACTGTTGCACACATTTCAGCTTTTCCTCTGAATTTTTAGACCATGCAGACCAGCTGGCCAAGCTGCTGCATGGGAGTTCTTAGCTCTGTAGTAACAGACTGCTCTGAGAATAGAATGAAGTATCTTAATCTGCTCTTCCTGATTCATGTACATGATGCCACTCTTTGCAATCTGGTTTGTTGGTTGGTTGATTGGTTGGTTAGTTAGTGAATGGGATGGTTGGTTGGTTGGTTGGTTGGTTGGTTGGTTGGTTGGCTGGTTGATTGGTTGGCTGGTTAGTTGGTGAATAGGATGGTTGGTTGGTGAACGGGATGGTTGGTTGTTTGGTTAGTTGGTTGGTTAGTGAGTGGATGGTGTAAGTGAGACCTTCTAGAACCCAATGATGAGCTCTTAATTAAGAATGATTTTTCAATAAGAAAACTTTAGCTTGTCCCTCATACACCAACAGAGTTCTTCACAAGCCTCAGTTTGTCCCTCCTGGAGAGATCCTGTTTCTGGTACAACCAGTGACAACTCCATAGTTAATGCATGACTTGCTTACTTCCATCTTTTATAAAGATGTTAAATATTTATTAAAACTGTGTTTTTCATTACATCATTTCAGTACTAACAACTCTCTCTTCTCACAGGTTATCCAGATTATGATTGGCATCTATCATGTACTCATGTGGTATTTCCTATTGGTATTGTATATGGGACAAATTAAAGGAGTATTTGGGACTTATGAACCTTTAACTTACAAAATGGGAACTGCTTTATGGGGAATTGCTGTGAGTAAAATACATTTATGTTTATTTTATTAATCAGTAAATAATATTGATTCATATTAGTGGACAGTAAGGGCCAGCTTCTAAACAAGTTTTTCAGGAGAATCATATAACTCAATGCCATTTACAGACTAATTCAAAATCCAATTACTTCTTTCAACAAGTCTGTATTGAGCACCTTTAATCTACAAGTGCTATAAAAGAAATGTGGATACAAGAGTAAATGACAACCACAATGTGGACTATATCCTTAGCTATGTCAAAGACGGACTTTTAACCATCACGTCCATTATCATGATTAATTTTCAGGTTTACCATTACCTGCACTCTGGTGTGGTCTCTAGACAGCCAGGGCAGAAAGAAAACTCAGAGTGTGGGGTATTCCTAGAAGTCAAGGGAAGAATGTATCACAAGACATAAAGAAAGATCAGCTCTATCATCTTCTGTTGGTTTGTCTGAATAATGAAGGTTGAAAACTGACTACTGGGCTTATTAATATGGTATCCAGTCATAAACATGACAAGTAGTTTCAGTAAAAATGATGACATGAAATCCTGATTGGACTTGGTTTGAGGAAATGGAATGAGAGCTGAGAAGATTTTTTTATATTTTTACTTTACTTTTTGATAATTCTATACATGTGTACAATGCCTTTGATCTTATCTACCTGACTCCCTTCCTCCAATTCCTCTTGGAGCCCCCAACACATTTCCTTCTCAACTTCACATCCTTTTATTCTATTGTCTTTTGCTGGTGTGGGGGTGGACCAGGAATAAAAAATAAATAGATGTTATGAGCTAATAAAGGAAATATTGCAATCATATATTAATGTTAGTAAGAAATAATGAATTTTAGTGAACAAATAGCTATGGTCATGTTCTCCAGTGATGGTTGTCAATTAGTGCTCATTTTACCCCCTCAGAGAATATGTCATAGTATATGAAGAGGCTCTGGATTTTTGCATCTAGTAAGAGAAAGCCGAAAATGCTACTGAATATCCTACAATGAACAGAACATCATTTGCAAAGCATTATAGCCATTTATGTAAATAGTGCTAAGGCAAGGCAGCAAGAGGGGAACAAAGAATAAAGAACAGATCAGATTCTGATCTGATTTTGGAAGCTTGTGGATGAGTTCCTACAAAAGCCTCAAGTATATCAATGTATCAGAAAGAAAGATATGAGCTGAAAGTGAGGACAGACATATAGAGCAGCCATTAGAAGAAAGGAGAGTGTGTGAAGTGGCCATCTGAGAAAAGGGAGACAGTTATGTGGCTTACAAAAAAGTAATTTGACCTTTATACAGCATTAAGGACTCAAGGTTTAGGAACATGACTGCACAGTGAGATAAGTCTTTATTCAAGCCATGTTCACCTGCGTGGGTGCAGGGATGCAGCAGGGATAAAACTACATTTCAGCAGGATTTTGGTTAAAGATTCATTTTTGATTTTATTTTAAGTGCACTGGAGTTGAGAATGGATACAGGGAGTATTTGTAATGGCTGACCATGGAATTGATGCTGGTGATGAAAAGAATTCAGCAGGGAGCAGAAGGTCTGAGAGAACAGATAGGGTGGGAAAAGCATTGCTGGAGCTTAATGCCAGAGGGCGCCCTCTACAGCAAGTAGTGGGAAAAATGAACACACAGTCCTGAGATTTAAAATGACCAACAAAGACAAGAGGATGAGTATGAAAATCAAGCAATTTCTGTAAAGGATTTTAGGGGAAAATTCAAAGAATCATATACCATGGGTAAGTAGAAGGATGCACACACATAAATAACTAAAGATTAAATCATTTAGGGGAGACTTCAGAGGGTCAAAACTTAAAATCATCTAGAAAGGGATGAATGACAAGGTGGCCAATCAGTGAGCTTAAGCACGGGGATGTGGGGTGACAGAACCTGAAACACTTGTCTCAAATCTAGAGAAAAGAAAAGTGATGGAAATACACAGTGGGACAAAAAAAAACCCACTGTCCTTGTACTGGAACAAAGGTCTGCTGGCTGTCACAGAAGAGGTTGAGTGGTCACTAGAAGAAACAGTGACCTTGAAGACATCTGCCTTTATCCATACTCTGACTCAGGGTGTCCAAGGACAAAATCCAAATAAGCCATGTTGATAAGAAACCCATTGCCTCATCAATAAGAAAAGGTGCATTTGGCTCATAAACAAAAAGTACATGGAAGAAAGAAGAAAATAAACAGATAAGGAAAAAACTAGAATTTTCAGACAAAACTCAGAGAAATGATTTGTGTTCCTTTGTGTTTAATTTCATACTATAAAAATAACGTCAGAGGAACTAGAGAGGCAGCTCAGTCAGCAAAGAGTTTACTGTGCAAGCGTGAACACCTGAGTTCTGCCGTGTTTTCTATGTGCTTTTACTGTGGTGCTTTTGGTGTTTTTGTTTTTTTGTCCTTTTGTTTGGGAGTAGTGTTTTTGTTTTTATTTGCTTGCTTGTTTGTTTTGAGAGAGAAAAAATATCAAGTTGGATAGAGAACTTGGGGGAGGAGAAAAACTATGATCAAAATATACTGTATGAAAAAAATTAATATAATTTTTAAAAGAATGGAACATGACTGCTATTTTTCAAAAACAAATAACCTTTGCTAAAATAACTAAAAAAAAAAAAAAAAAAAAAAGGTTGGAAAGATGGCTCAGGAGTTTAGAGCCCTTGCTGCTCTTGCAGAGGACTAAGGTTTGGTACCCAGCATCCATGCCAGGGGATTCACAACTTCTTACAACTTCAGTTCCCAAGGGATCTGATACCACCTTCTGCAGGAACTGCAAGCACACACACACACACACACACACACACACACACACACATATATATATATATATATAATAAGTAAAACTTTAAAATAAAGCAAACAAAGACTATTTCAGGGAAGTTGTGTAGCATGCTTTCAAATAACACAGCAGTGCTTTGTACTTCTTGGAAAATAGAAATCCTGAAAGGAAATAGTGGAATGCCTTTTAAAATACTTTTTATAAAAGGCAAGGTAGCTGGGAAAATGACTCAGTGAATAAGAGTACTTGTTCTGCACACAATCATGAAGACCTGAGTTCAAATCCCCAGCACCCACATAAACAGCCAGGCATGGCTACACATACCAGTAACAACAGCCGTCAAGGGTGGAGACAGCCAAATTCCAAGCACTTGTGGTCAGCCAGCCTAGATGGAACAGCAAACTTCCAGTTCCCTGAGAAACCTTGTTTCAAGGCAATACGGGGAACAATAAAAGAAGACACATGTGTATAATTAGATTATATACCTGCACACTCATGTGCATCCTACACACATACACCAGACATGTATGCACACATAAATAGATAAATAAACAAAGTGAAAGCCTGGGCATCCTGTGGCCTTAATGGTATCTATTGCCTCTCAATGAAGAGGGTGTTATTCACAGACATGGTGTCTAATGGATTTTAGAGCCACTTTCTCAAATCTGGATGTATACACAGTCATTACAGTCCATAATATCTTACTAGAAACAGAAGTTGGAGTAACACCTAATAGGTTGTATAAAAGGTATCACCTAACCAAACTTGGTCCCTGGTTCAGGAAGACTTAGGCCATTGCCATGTACGACAACCTAAATCTTACCCACTGTCCTGAGCTTGTGACTGTTGTGACCCTCCTGTTACTTTCAATATGTGTCACCTTTTGAAAACATGATTATCTCATAATGGAAGCTTGTCCTAACCCCTTCTACTAAAACTTCTCTCTTTGCTACTATTAGTATTCTGAAAATCTTGCCCTGAAAAATAGTAGTTTTAAAGTATGATTAAATTGCTGAGCATTATCAATGAGTATTTACCAGCATATGTTTGTGTCTAGTTTGTCATTTCAGGAGCCTTCACAATAAAAGCAGCAAGAAAACAAAATAGAAATATGGTAAGTTGAAATGTTTGGGATATGTCTAGTATGACCTTTCACAAAATTGAAAAGAGGTTTGAATGAAAAAACAGTGTTGGGGCTGGAGTGATGGCTCAGCAGTGAAGATCACTTGCTGCTCTTCAGAGTTCAGTCCCCAGCACACATGTTGACTCACAAGTTCCAGTAACTCCAACTCCAAGAGTTCTGGCTCCCTCTGCAGGCCTCTTAAGGCAACTGCACTCACAGGCATACATACATACATACATACATACATACATACATACATACGCATACATACATGCATGCATACATACATACATGCGTGTATTTATATTTATATAAACATATCTTGAAAATAAAGAAAAAATAGTCTCTGAATAATAAAGAAATCTATCATCCCTATAAAATGAGTGAGGGAAATAAAAACCTGAGATCAGATTACTTAATGTAGACCAGATACATTAGTTAACAATCATGATTGTTAACTTCTGCTAAAACATCTAAATTTAAATAATATTTTTATTTGGACGTTTAACCCTTAACATTGTATGAATACTGTGATTAAAAATTGTTTGCAGGATCTAAAGTCTTTCTTCTATGTGATCATTACTGTGCTTTAATACTTCATTTTCTAGTCTACCCACTTTGGGAATAGGGTTGTATCTTGTATCAAAGTATTTTTCTTGGAATTTTCCAAGAAAGAAAAAACTATCCATGGTGTAGGTGGAAAATGTCTAGAAATAAAAATGTCAGAATTTTAGATCTGAAAGACAGCTTAGATTAATCTAATTTTAAATGTTTACACATCAAGAAATCTGGGAATGATAGATGGCTCAGGAGTTAAGAGCACTTGCTGCTCTTACAGAGGACTCAGGTTCAATTCCCAGCCCTAATATAGTGGCTCATAGCCATCCTTAACTCAAGTCCAAGAGGATCTGGCATTCTCTTCTGTCCACCATGAGCACCACATGTATGTAATATGCTGACATGCATCTAGACATAACACCCATAAACATAAAATAAAGTCTCAAATTTTCAAAATTAAAAATCAAATTATGATGTATATACAAACATGTTGACAAATGGTCCCAGCTATTAAAAACCCGGGATTCAAACATATTAACTCCTATTTGACTTTATTTCTGCAGTCTCCATATCCCAAAAAAAAAAATTTTTAATTTTATAATTAATTTAATTTTACACATCAGCCATGGATTCCCCTGTCCTCCCTTCTCCCACCCTCCAGCTTCCCCCCCCCCAATCTGTCCCCCATTCCCACCTCCTCCAAGGCAAGGACTCCCCTGGGGAGACAGCCCAGCCTGATAGATTCAGTTGAGGTAAGTCCAGTCCCCTCCTCTCTGCATCAAGGCTGAGCAAAGTGTCTCAGCATAGGCCCTAGGTTCCAAAGAGCCAGCTCATGCACCAAGGACAGGTCCTGGTCCCACTGCCTGGGGGCCTCCTAAACAGATCAAGCTAATCAACTGTCTCACTTATCCAGAATGCCTGGTCCAGTTCCTTGGGGGCTCTTCAGCTATTGGTTCACAGTTCATGTGTTTCCACTAGTTTGGCTATTTATCCCTGTGCTTTTTCCAATCATGGTCTCAATATATCTTGTTCATATAATCCCTCCTCTCTCTCTTGCCAATTGGACTCCCGGAGCTCCACCTGGGGCTTGGCTGTGAATCTCTGCATCTGCTTCCATCAGTCACTGGATGAGAGTTCTATCATGACATTAAGTGTGTTCAGCCATCCGATCACCAGGGTAGGTCAGCTCGGGCTGTCTCTCAACCATTGCCAGTAGTCTATAGTGGAAGTATCTTTGTGAATTTCTGGGGACCTCTCCAGGACTCTGCTTCTTCCTATTCCCATGGGGTCTTCATTTATCATGGTATCTCTTTCCTTGTTCTCCCACTCTGTTCCTGATCCAGCTGGGACCTCCTGCTCCCCTAAGCTCTCTTTCCCCCAACCCTTGCCCTCCAATACCCTCCCTTACCCCCAGTTTGTTCATGTAGATATCATCCATTTCTCATCACTGGGCAATCCCTGTGTCTTTCCTAGGGTCCTCTTTACTAGGTAGCCTCCCTGGAGTTGTGAGTTGCAGTCTGGTTATTCTTTGCTTTACATCTAATATTCACTTATGAGTGAGTACATACCATGTTTGTCTTTCTGAGTCTGGGTAACCTTACTCAAGATGGCACTTTCTAGTTCCATCCATTTGCCTGCAAACCTCATAATGTCATTATTTTTCTCTGCTGAGTAGTACTCCAATGTGTATATGTACCACGTTTTATTATCCATTCTTCATTTGAATGGCATCTAGGTAGTTTCCAGGTTCTGGATATTACAAATAATGCTGCTATGAACATAGTTGAGCATGTGTCCTTGTGGTAAGATTGAGCATTCCTTGGGTATATGCCCAAGAGTGGTATAGCTGGGTCTTGAGGGAGATTGATAACCTATTTTCTGAGAAACCGCCATACTGATTTCCAGAGTGGTTGTACAAGTTTGCATTCCCACCAACAGTGGAGGAGTGTTCACCTTGCTCCATATCCTCTCCAACATAAGCTGTCTTCAGTGTTTTATATAATTTGTGTCTATTGTAAAGGATGATATATCTCTGATTTCTTTCTCAGCCCATTTGTCATTTGTATATAGGAGAGCTACTTATTTTTTTGAGTTAATCTTGTATCCTGCTACATTGCTGAAGGTGTTTATAAGCTATATGACTTCCTTGGTCGAATTTTTGGGGTCACTTATGTATATTATCATGTCATCTGCAAATAGTGAAAGCTTGACTTCTTCCTTTCCAATTTGTATCCCTTTGATCTCCTTTTGTTGTCTTATTGCTCTGGCTAGAACTTCAAGTACTATGTTGAATAAGTATAGGGAAAGTGGACAGCCTTGTCTTGTTCCTGATTCTAGTGGAATCACTTTGAGTTTCTCTCCATTTAATTTGATGTTGACTGTTGGCTTGCTGTAAATTGCCTTTATTATGTTTAGGTATGTTCCCTGTATTCCTGATCTCTCCAAGACCTTTATCATGAAGGGGTGTTGGATTTTGTCAAAGGCCTTTTCAGCATCTAGTGAGATGATCATGTGGTTTTTTTCTTTCAGATTGTTTATATGGTATATTACATTGACAGACTTTTGTATGTTGAACCACCCTTGCATCCCTGGGATGAAGAATTTTCTCATTTTTTAAGTATTCAAGTCAAACATCGTGATCTTTCTTACAGCTGACTCACAAGATTATAAAATAGAAAAATTTTGAGCATTGGTGCAATTCAAAACTTGACAGTGTCTGATAATGAATTCATGTTTCCTCTAAACTAACTAGATTTCATGTAAACCAGGAAATGGCAAGCAGAAACACATTTTGAAAGCTCCCCAAACTATAAAGGAAATTTTAACTCAATTGTTTTCTAGTAAAACAAAGCAACAACAAAATATCAAAAGAAAATTCAAAAGCACTTACTCTGAACGTTGTAAGTTTCCTCCATGTCTCCTTTTCAGGTTGTCTGTACTCTGTCCCTGAACATGCTCTGCATCATGGTTGTGCTCATTGCAGCCAGCCTGACAATAGTGGAGTTGGCTCACTTCCGCTCTGTGTCATACAGGAATTATGGACAAGCAGTAAGTACCTGATTCTATAGAAACATCTTTCTTTTTGTGTTTGTAATGGTATTTTATTCTTTGAGAGTTTCATACAATATAGTTTGATCACATTCACCACCCACTTTTCCCCTAACTCCTTTTGGATCCACGCCCATTTCCTTATCCCAGTTTCATTTCTGTGTTCTATTTATTTCAATAACCAAAGAAGTCTATTTTGTGTTGCCCTTATACTCACAGGTGTGAGGCCACCCACTGGAGTGTGATTGATCTACCTAGGGCTATACTCTTAAAGAAAAACAGATTCTCCTTGCCCGTCAATAGTCCCTCAGTTAGAGATGGAGACTCCTGAGTTGCCTCTCCCCAGCCTCTTCTTTGCTAGAATGTTGATCGGATTTATCTTGTGTGCATCTTGTGCAGGAAAGCATAGGAGCTGTGAGTTTCTGAGGCCAGCAGCCCCGGCTTGTCCTGAAGACACAAAGACACTGTTTCATGCTGCTCCTCTGTGGTTTATAGCTCTTAACAAGCTCTTTGCCTCCTCTTCCAAGATGGTCCCTGAGCCATGTGAGTGTGCGTGTGCACATATGCATGTGCCTGTGTGTGGTACATACATATATGTGAAGGCCAGAGAATAACTTCAGGTGTCATTTCTCAGGCACTGCTCATCTTTGATTTTGTGACGGTGCCATTAGCTGAAAATCCCCTAGTAGGCCAGGCTAGCTGGCTAGGGAGCCACAAGCATCAGCTTGTCTCTGTCCCCCAGCACAGAGTGTGCACCCTCATTCTCCCCCTCCCATGCTCCCACCTCTCAGGTGCTAGATATTGAGCTCAATTTCTTTTTGTTTATTTTAATTGTTTTTTATTCATTTTACATACCAACCACAGATCCCCCTCTCATCCCTCCTCCTGCTCCCCACACCCTTGCCTTCCCCCCACGACCCACTCCTCATCCCATCCTCCAAAAGGTTAAGTTCTCCCATGGGGAGAGAGTTAAGCCTGGTACATTTAGCTGAGGCAGGACCAAACCCCTCCCCACTGCATCAAGGGTGAGCAAGGTGTCCCACCACAGGTAATGGGATCCAGAAAGCTGGCTCATGCACCAGGGATAGATCCTGATCACACTGCCAGGGGCCCCTCAAACAGACCAAGCTACACAACTGTCTCCCATATGCAGAGGGTCTAATCTGGTCCCATGAAGATTCTACAGCTGTCAGTCTAATGTTCATATGTTCCTGTGAACTTGGTTCACTTGTCTCTGTAGATTTCCTCATCGTGATCTTGACCCCCCTTGCCCATATAATCCCCTTCCCTCTCTTCGACTGGACTCCTGGAGCTCAACCTGGTGCTTGGTTGTGGATCTCTGCATCTGCTTCCATCAGTTCCTGGATGAAGACTCTATGATGACAGTTAGGGTATTTACCAACCTGACTACCAGGGTAGGTCAGTTCAGGTACCCTGACCACTGTTGCTAGTAGTCTAATCTGAAGGATGGTCATCCTTGTGGATTCCTAGGAATCCACCCCTTACCCCATAAAGTCTCCCTCTATCAAGATATCTCTTTTCATTGCTCTCCCACTCCATCCCTCCCTTAGCTCGACCATGCCATTCCTTCATGTTCTCATCCCCCATCCCCTCCCCTCTATGGTCCCCCCATCCCCAGTTTATTCATGGAGATCTCCTCTGTTTCCCCTTCCTAAGGTGATCCTTATGTCCCTCTTAGGGTCCTCCTTCTTTCCTAGCTTCTCTGGAGCTGTGGGTTGTAGCCTGATTATCCTTTGCTCTATATCTCAATTTCTTGTGCCTGCAAGGCAAGCACTTTACTGACTGAGCCATCCCCCAGTCTCTCCACAGATGACATCTTAATGCAAAAAGAGTACATTCCTGGACCACTAAGCCATTCACTGAACCAGGAAAAGAGCTTTGCTGCTGCTCTTCTGTGTTTAAACCATGAATACCAGGCCGGGCGGTGGTGGCGCACGCCTTTAATCCCAGCACTCGGGAGGCAGAGCCAGGCGGATCTCTGTGAGTTCCAGGACAGCCTGGGCTACCAAGTGA